GAGGTGAGGCATATGTGTTATTCTGAGATAACATCTAAACTACAAGAGATTAATACTAAAATCAAATGTTTTCATATTAGTAAACACACTTAAAACACAGAAGAATCACCTCTAATAGGACACTAATCCTACTTACTAGAAGACTGTATCATATATCACCACCTATGCTTTCTCTGTTTGCCAGGATTATTCATTTCAGTACTTTAATCGCATGCACCTTTGACTATTATTTAACAAGACTGAGATACAGACACATATAAAAATATTAAATAATAAAATATTGTTAGACTATTTGAGACAGAGAAGAAGGTCGAATGAAAATCATGCTTTATATATCTATCTGATCAGTTGAAGGAGTAGGCAAAGTTATACAGATATTTAAGAGAAAAGAGTTCTAAACAGAGAGATGGGAAGTACAAAGATCTCAAGGCTAGAATTTACCTGATATGTTCAAGAAACAATAAAATGTCTAGCATGTGTAATATCCTAAGATATACACAGTGACTAAACATCAATGAGAAGGATAAGAAAATCACTTTATAACATTTCAAGTATCTTAAATTTTAGTTCTCCTGTCTGATTTGCAGTAGAGTAAAGCAACATTTTGTTTTTCTAAGACTAAGAATTTGGATTTTATAAAAAGTCATTTTTTGAAAGTGCTTTTAGGTGATGTTTCACTGAAAGTGATTATGATGAGATTATACATTATTCTTTCTTTTCTTCTTTACCATTCTAATTAGTTGGTTGTTCATACTAACCAAACTTACAGATATATATTTCAATGTAAAAACATACAACACAAACTAAATATGTCACTGTATGACATATTTACTATACTGAACACTATACTGAATATACGCTGAATATATATGGCCAACAGAGAAAGCATAATATACACTGAATATATACTGAATATACTGAAGAACACTGTACTGAAATAAAACTTAAACCTATATGTTGAATTGGCCCAGAGTATACTAGGAAAATGTGATCCTGAAAAATAAACAGTGAGAAATAAAATATAGTTCTTATATTTCAGAAATCTAGAAATAATACTTTGGCTGGCCAAGCAAAATGACTAAGTCACTTATCATGGGGGAAAAAAAAAAAATGGACTGGCCTCATCTTTGTACATTCAATTCCAGAAGAAGGTAGAACTATCTGTTAGTTCTACTGAGATCCTCAAGGAAAGGAAGTTTGACCCAATTATTTATATCCATCTAAACTGTTCCTGAATTATAAAAGCTACACACGTACAAGAACTATAGGAGAATACTGTTCCCATGAACCATTTTTGAGAAAATGACTACCAACCAGATTGACTTTAGCCAACCAAGAAATGACTGAGGCAACTATGGCAACAGGACTGCTGATGAACATTAAGACTAAAACAAAAATGGGAATTAGTATAACAAGGTATGTGTTACCTATGCTGACAATGCAATTAACAAAATTAAGAAGAAAAAGAGACCCCTCCAGAAAGGGCAGAAAGTAGAATAAACTCATTGATTGCCTCATCTGTACCATAATTGATATTTATGGATCACTCCACCCAACAAAAGTAGAATACATATTAAACTGCACATGGAATACTTTTACTATGATGAAAGAATTCAAGTCCTATCAGGAATGTTTTTGACCACAATGGAGGTAAACTAGAAGTCAAAGTCTAAGGTTTTTGCCTTTAAAAATAATAGCAAAAACCGCGATTACTTTTTTACCAACCTAATAAATAAGCCATAGATCACAGAAGAAACAAAAAGGTAAATTAGAAAATACTTCTAAAAGGAAAATACAATATATCAGAATTTGTGGGAAGCTGCTGAAGCAGTACTGAAGGGGAAATTTATAGTGCTAACTGTCTTTATGAGAATAATAGAAAGGTCTCAAATTAATGACCTCAAGCTGCCACCATAAGAAACTAGAAAAAGAACAAATAAAAAAAGTAAGCTGGTGAAAAGAAATAATAAAGTTCAAAATGGAAATCAATGAAATAAAAACCAGAGAAACAATAGGGAAAATCAATAAAACTAAGAGAGGATCAATAACATTGATATACTTCTAGCCAGAATGATTAAGAAAAAGCACAAGTTCCTGATATCAGGAATTAGAGAGGTGGCATTACTACAGATTCTACAGATATTAAAATAACATTAAGAATGTTATGAACAACTTAAAGCTTTTAAATGTGATAACTGAAATAAAATAAATATATTCCTTGAAAGACCCATTATGACCAAGTTTGCTGAAGAAGAAAGTAATAACTGAACAACTTAAAGCTTTTAAATGTGATAACTAAAATAAAATAAATATATTCCTTGAAAGACCCATATGACCAAGTTTGCTGAAGAAGAAAGTAATAACCTGAATAGCCCTATACCTATTAAAGTAATTGAAATTGCTTTAAAAAAAATTCCTATAAAGAAAAGTCCTGTCCTGGATGGCTTCACTGGTGAATTTTATCAAATATTAAAGGAAGAAATAATGCAATTTCATATCAACTATTCCAAAAATTGAACATATGTAGCCAGCATTACCCTGAAACCAAAAACTAGGTAAAGATAGGTTGTATAATATTACATGTGAATTTATTGTTTATTCAAAACAAATACATCTAATATTTAGAACTTCTACCAGAATGTAACTTCTTAATTTATTTCTTCTTGGTAAGCAATTTTGGTCTTATTATCTGGGTTTTTATCAAGTTCAGGGAAACATCATAAAATTAGATTTTATAACTGTATCAGCACTATTTGGCCTTCTGGAACGTCTAGTCCTATCTGCCATGACTTTGTAACTTTTTCACTTCTTTTCTACACATTTCTTTTTGATCTAGATTCTACGGGACTTTCAGTTTATCCTAGAGACCGGTCTCTGGCTGTGTTCATTTGGTTATATGGAATTTTCCATTAAATTTGATTTGGCAAACATATCTCTAAGAGTTGTATTTTATTCTTTGTTTCCTTTTTGTATCAGCCTGATCATATTTTAAACATGCAGTTTAAATATCCTTTCTATGTTCTTTTTCTCCTAGGATCACTTCTCCTTGGTTCATCTTGGCCATTTTAATAGATTTTAAAGAGAAAAAAAAGCATGAAATAATTGTGCTTGGTCCTTATTATCTTGAACCAGAAATCTGATTCTCTTATTTATACAGGACATTCGGTAGAATATTAATTTTGGATATTAATAGAATAATTCAGTATGTGTTGCAGACAATCTTGCCTTTCAGAGGGACATCTAAACCATAAACCAGTTAACTAGAATACGTAATCTCTTTCCACTACAAATAGTAATATGATAGTGTCATGGGCCAAAAATCAGGGAAACATAGATTCTAATGGCTACTTATTACATCCATGTTTCAGCTTGCTTTTCTGTAAGTAATTGTCCTGTATAACCTAAGACAGTCTACGCAACCCTGCTAAGAAATTCCCTAAAACTGCTTTGTTTTAAGTAATGGTAGGTAATTCAAATAAATTCTCCCAATAAAAAAATAAATAAATAAAAACATCTTCCAAAACCAAAATCAGAGAGTTAACAACATAATGACTAAGCGCCAGACCAGAAACAAGCTGGGAACCCAGATACAAGCAAAACAATGGAGATAATTCCGTCCTAAGAGCACATCCCTAACTGGAAGACGCAGCTAAAAGGCTAAGTCATTTTTCCAGCAAGAGTCAAAATCTAGGGTCTGCCAAGGGTGAGGACTCTTAGTCATCAACCTCAAGTGGGACCTTCTAGAGCTGCACCCTACCAGTAAGAGTGAACTGGAAATAAAACAGCCATCCAGTTAGCCTGCAGAAAACCTTTTAATCACTTGGGGGACCAAAAAAATCTCAAGCCTTGAACACAAATGGATTAAAGTGATCCCCTCTCTACTAGGTACCCAACAGAGGCAGACAAAAACTCTTCTGGAGAAAGGTAACATCATCACAGGCCTCAAATGATTTAGTAATCACGCCTCTGAAATATTCATGACTGGACCAAGCGTGGTGGCTAAGGCCTGTAATCCCAGCACTTTGGGAGGCAGAAGTGGGCAGATCACCTGAGGTCAGGAGTTCAAGACCAGCCTGGCCAACATAGTGAAACCTCATCTCAATTAAAAATAGAAAAAAATTAGCCAGGTGTAGTGGTGGGTGCCTGTAGTCCCAGCTACTCAGGAGGCTGAGGCAGGAGAATCGCTTAAACCCAGGAGGCGGAGGCTGCAGTGAGCCAAGATCGCACCACTGCACTCCAGCCTGAGCGGCAGAGTGAAACTTGTCTCAAAAAAAAAATAAAAATGAAAAAAGTAAAATACTAAATATTCATGACTGAAATTATGTAAATTAAGTAGAGATGTAATTTTTCTAAATAAACATTATAGTATCCTTATACCACATTAATAACTAAAAAAGCATCAGAATTTTTAAAATTCCCTTTACTGATATAAATTTATGGGCAATCAGAAAAATAAACAAGACTACATAAACACAGAACATATCACAGCTCAATTCAATTTTTTTGCAATTTGGCTAAGTCTCTAAAACATATTTTGAACTTCAAGTCATCTCCTCGCTTATCCCTTTAGTATTACAAATAAACAAACATTAAAGTATACTGGCCGTGTTTAAAAAACTAAACAACAATGGTTTTATTTTTCAATATGGAATACTTTAGCAAAGAAAGGACCATACCCAGTATAACACCATGCAACTCAGAAACAAGCAGAAATAGAAAAAGCCACCCATTCTGCAATTTAAACTATGACAGAATATATATACATGTAACTCAATATTCTCTCTCTTTTATAATCCCATTGGGCTCATGTCCTAAAACCTATTTTCTTTGTCAAGAAAAGGAAATGAAAAGTGATTTTAAAATATTATCATAAAAGTTTTACAACTTTGGTAATTGTGAATTTTAATCCTGAATTTTCATTACCAAATGGACCAAAAATAGTCCTGTTAATATCCAGTTAGCTATTAACAGCTATCAATATCTTCTTTCTCCTCTCATACCTATAGTATCTGGGAGATCTAGCAGTTCATTGTGCTGCAAGTCAAGGTTGGTTATCTGTGTACAGTTTCCAATCTCCTTTGGAAGGTGTTCAAGTTGATTGTGAGCTACATCCAGCGTAATGAGGTTACATAATTCACCTGTAAATTGACCAACATAAAAATTCAATAAGCATTATTAAAAAACATACTCAGATAATACTTGTAAGCAAGAAAATAAATTTTATAATTTCTGAAAACAACTGGAAACAAAACCACATTATAGAGGCAACTTTTATTTTAAAATTTTAAATCATTTAGTGAACATACTTGCATTGCAAGAAAATGAAAATTTCTTTTTTCTGTATCACAATTGCATTTTCTTTCTCAAAAACTAAGTCAACCACAAATCTGAAACCATTACTTCAAGATGACATCTGATAAAATGTTGTTTGTGAATGATTACTTTTCCAACCTCTTTTAAGTAACCAATTCAGTCACAAATGTTTACATATATTCCAAAATTTGAAGTACTGATTTTGTTAACCAAATTCAGCATAAATAATATCAGATACACCTTGAGTTCAGTTTGAGGGTCATAATCTACCTCAAGATATGGAAATAAATGGAAATGGAAAAGTAATTTTAAAATAATTATCTTAAAAGTTTTACAACTTTGGTAATTGTGAATTTTAATCTTGAATTTTCATTACCAAAATGGATCAAGATAGTCTTCTTAATATCCAGTTAGCTATTAACAGCTATCAGTATCTTCTTTCTCCTCTCACACCTATAGTATCTAGGAGGTCTAGCAGTTCACTATGTTGCCAAACAAAGTTGGTTATCTGTGTACTGTTTCCAATCTCCCTTGGAAGGTGTTCAAGTTGATTGTGAACTACATCCAGCTTTCAAATATGAAATCTCATATATGCTTTCGAATATGCATGTGTTCTGATGTTATATAAATGCATAAATTGACATTTATAAGTAAAAATTGCTTCTCAATTTACTAGGACTCTAAAAGGACAGAAAATAAGGTATATTTCTCCGTTTCCATTCTGGTTGAAAGGTCTGTATTGGCAATTTAAATTACCTGCAGTGTTACTGAGTTTTAAAAAACCTTTTCATTTTTATTGGTCTTGTCAAGGCTTTTCTATTATTATTTTTTAAGGCAGAGGTTGGAGATACAGAAAAGTACAAACTATAGAACTCTGAAGAATGGGTGTGTAACACATTTTTAAGCCACACATAATAAACACAGGCAACAAAAGAAAAATCGATGTTAGATTTTATCAAAATTTAAAACTTTAGTGCATCAGAGGATACTATGAAGAGTAAAAAGGCAACCTATACAGTGGGAGAAAATATATGCAAATCACATATCTCATAATGGATTGATATCCAGAATATATAAAGAACTACCATAAAACAAGACCACCACAAAAATCCTCAAAGAAGCCGATTTTTAAAAGGGCAATGGACTTCAATAGATATTTCTCTAACGATATACAAGTGGGCAATAAACACATGAAAAGATGCTCAACATCAGTAATCACTAGGGAAATGCAAATCACAACGAGATACCACTTCATACCCATTGGGATGGCTATTATCAAAAAATAGAAAATAACAAGTACTAGTAAGGATGTGGAGAAATTGGAACCTTTGTGCACTGCTGTTGGGAAATGGTACAGTTGCTGTGAAAAACTGCACAGCGGTTCTTCAAAAAATTAAACATAAAATTACCATACAAGTCAGCAATTCAACTTCAAGGTATATATCCAAAAGAACTGAAAACAAGGACACAAACAGGTATTTGTACACCAATGGTCATAGCAGCATTATTCACAATAGTCAAAATGTGGAAACAACCCAACTGTCTATTAACGAATGAATAACCAAAATGTGGTGTATATATATAATGGAGTACTCTACAGACTGGAATACATTTCTGATGGGTGCTAAACATGGATAAACCTGGAAAACATTATATACCAAGTGAAATAAGCCACACACAAAATAACAATTTTATGATCCCTCTTATATGAGGTACCTGGAATAGTCAAATTCACAGAGACAGAAAGCAGAACGGTGGTTGGTAGGTGCTGAGGAGAGAGGGGAACGAGGACTTATTGTTCAACAGGTACAGAGTTTCAGTCTCAGACGATGAAAACATTCTGGAGATTAATAATGGTAATCATTGCACAGCAATGTCAATGTGCTTAATGCCACTGAACTCTACAAGTAAAAATGGCTAAAATGATAAATTACATGTTATGCATATTTTATAATAAAAAAACTTATGGGACATAGCTAAGCCAGTGCTAAGAGGGAAGTTTATAGCACTAATTTTACATTACAAAAGAGGTAGGATCTCAAATCAGCAATCTAAGTCCATCTCAAGAAAATAGAAAAAGATAAGTCCAAGCAAGCAAAAGGAAGTTAATAAAAATGAGTATAAATCAATAAAAATGAAAACAAGGAAGAAAGAGAATAGTTAATGTAAATATAAGATGGTTTTTTGGGGGAAAAAATCAATGCTTATAGCCCTCTGCCATGATTTACAAAGATAAAAAAGGGAGAAGACACATATTTCAAATATTAGCAATGAAAAAAAGGAATACAGATCCTACGGTGTTTAAAAAGAGAAAATGGACATACTACAAAAATCTTTGTAATTATAAATCATAAATTCAAAAACTTAGAAGATATAACCTAATTATTCCAAAGCCAAACTACCAAAACTCAATCAAGATGAAACAGAAAACCTGAATAGTACTATAACCATTAAATAAATATTTGTAACTAAAAAGTTTTTCAAAAAAGAAATTCTAGGCCCAGATGGCTTCACTGCAGACTTTTACCAAATCCTTAGAAATGAATTAACACCGATTTTATGCAATGTCTGCCAAAAAATAGAGGAGGAAACAATTTCAAACTCATTTTATGAGGTATTACCTTGATATTAAAATCAAAGACAGTACAAAAAAGAAAACTATAAATCAATGTCTCTCATGAGATTTCTGTGTCAGGAACTCAGACACAAAAATTCTCAACAAAATATTAGAAAACTGAATTCAACAATATAAAAGGGATTATACATCATGACCAAGTACGATTAGGATTAATTCCTGATATGCAAGGCGGGTTTACTATTTGAAAATCAATCAATGTTATTTACCATATCAACAGTCTAAGGAAGTAAGATCATTTGATGATTCATACAAGGAAAACTTTTAACAAATTCAAAATGCATTCATGTTAAAAAACCATCACCAATTTAGAAACAGTGGGGAATTACCTCCATTTAGTAAAAAGCTTCTATAAAAACTTACAGCTGACTTCCAGTTTCCAATCTAACACATAAAAAATTTTGAAGTCATTGCTCCTGTCCTCACAACAAGAAAAAGGCTCAATAAAATGAAGATTATCGACTCTTCTTATATCCTTTTGAGATCTGAGGACAAACCTCTGTCCCCAGAACTGGAGAGAAATGTGATACAGAGTTACCAGGAGTAGAAGCCACAGCTGGGAGCTTGGTAGGAACACTTACTGAACTAATTAATTCGTTCAGACAAAAAATTATTGCTATGTACATTCTCTTTTTTCAGGTCCAATACTGGGCACTGAAGAAACAGACTACAATATACCAAATGCTCATATTCATGAAACTTACAACTCGTAAAAAGACAATGTGATTTGAGGGAGGCTACAAAGAGTCTCTGCTCCAATTAGGTCTCCTTCATTGCTTGCTTATAAAATTTCACCATTAAAGAGCCATTCTTTTGGATCTTCATGGCCATTCACCTCAAAGTTCTTTATCTTTAAGGTGGTGACCCTTTCACTGACTCATTCATGAAAGAAAAACTTACTGTGCACCTACTGGAGATTCAGCAGTGCAGGAAATGAAACAAGTTTCCATCTACATGAAAGATTCAGCAGCGCAGGAAACAAAGCAAGGTTCCATCCACATGAAACTTACACTGTAGTGTGCATGGAGTGGGGAATCATAAAATAAAGAAATAAAGTGTCAGGATGTGGTAACTGCTGTAAACAACAAGAAGAAAACACACAAGGAAAGGAAGTTGGAACTGTGACTGCTGGGGGAAGATGGGGTGGGAAAAAAAAAAGCATGTTTGAACTGAGACACAGGGGGTTGGGAGGGGAAATAGGCAGAAAAGGAGAGGAGGGAAAGAAAGTGAGAAATCTAGGGTCTTAAATATCACCCTAAGGAATCTAGACCATTTGACCAGATAATAAAGCACAATTTAAAGTTTTTAAGCAAACCATGATAATCAGAGTACTGCTCTAAAAAGTCTGTTTTCTCTAGATTTGAATGGATGGACTGGAGAAAGAGAAAAAATACAGAGCCTAGGTTGACACAACTGCAATTAGGCCACAAGAAATAGTGTGAAAGTCTATACTACATCAATGGCAGTGGAATCAAGTGAATGAACAACAGGCTACTATGAAGAGGGAAAGAAAAAGTGACAAGACACTTTGGGAGCCCGAGGCGGGCGGATCACAAGGTCAGAAGATCGAGACCATCCTGGCTAAAACGGTTAAACCCGTCTCTACCAAAAATACAAAAAATTAGCCAGGCATAGTGGCGGGTGCCTGTAGTCCCAGCTACTCGGGAGGCTGAGGCAGGAGAATGGCATGAACCTAGAAAGCAGAGCTTGCAGTGAGTCGAGATTGCGCCACTGCACTCCAGCCTGGGCGACAGAGCGAGACTCCGTCTCAAAAAAAAAAAAAAAAGTGACAGGAATGTGGTAGAATAACGCTTTTCAGACAACATATGGTGAAGGCCTGGTTCTTTGTCTTTTGCTTTTCCCAAGTGGTTGTAGATGAATATTTAAAACACAAACTCACACACTTGGATGTCTCAGCAATGTCAAATTGTTACATAAGATTCTAAATGCGGCCGGGCGCGGTGGCTCACGCCTGTAATCCCAGCACTTTGGGAGGCTGAGGCGGGTGGATCACGAGGTCAGAAGATAGAGACCACGGTGAAACCCCGTCTCTACTAAAAATAAAAAAAATAAAAAATTAGCCGGGTGCGGTAGTGGGCGCCTGTAGTCCCAGCTACTCGGAAGGCTGAGGCAGGAGAATGGCATGAACCTGGGAGGCGGAGCTTGCAGTGAGCTGGGATCGTGCCACTG